CAAACAGTTTTCAATGTATTACTCAACTTACATGTACAGTCTGCCATGCTGACACAAATGGCGCCAATGGATAGTTCTGGAATCGACCTCGGCCCCATTCCATGCAGTAAAACAATCTAACATGACATTATCTAGTTTTCGTATCCACGATCAAATTTCTTTCCTATTATAAAACTAAGAATAGACTGCTGAAAAATTGGAATAAATATATCAATGATCTCAACATTATACATCAATTAACTTTAAGTCAAGGATGCTGTTCACAACAAAGTTATATAGGAGAATTGACTTCAAGCTTTATTTTTCCCAGATATTTGTATTACATTCATTTCATGTTTGGGTTTTTTGTTAATGCGAAGACAATATTTCTATATCTCTTTATGTGTTACACAGACAGACTATTTAGCAGACTTCCGACTGACTGTAATGTCAGAAAGAACAAACAAACTGTAAATTCAACATACATCGAAATATGTGTAATTTATATAATAACTTATCCATGCCTGTACAATTGGTATGTTCCTGCATAAACAGGAATAAAATATATATTATAACGCGGGATTGGTTCGCTTGTATTTCTGCCTCAAAACTCTGATGCTTCTGCACCTTTGTTTGCAAATTCGTGGAGTCTTTGTAACTTTCATCAAGTGCATTTTCAAGTTTTCTTGATATCCATGATTGCATTTCATCTGCATCTCTATCGAACATTTGGTAACGGTGGGAATCTTCAAAACGCTGACGGCGGTTCTGAGCTTTCTCCTTTAATGCATTTCGTCTACTTTGAAGACCTTCCTGAATCTCATGAACCTGTGCAGCCGCATAGTGGTTCGATTCGATTAATTTTGCAGCGAATTCATCAAGTTGTCGCATCTTTTCTTCTTGTGCTAAAAGTGACTTTTCGAAGTCTTCATGTTTCCTTATGAGTGCTTCCACAGAATCGAGTGAGTCTCCCACATCTTTTATTTCTAAGAGGGCCTCTTGCTTACCAATCCAAGATTCCGACTGTTCAGCGTCACGGTAAAAATACTGAAGGCTCATACACTGTTCTAGCTGTTCATGTCTTTCCTCACACAACTGCATCAGGGAGGCTCTCTCTCTTTCAAGGGTGGAAAGTTTAGCAGCTATGTCTCCACTACAGGGATGACCAACACTTAGTAATGCCTGGCCTTCTTGCATGCATGTATCGAAACTGTCAGCTCGAGAATTTATCTCAGCGGTGTATTCCTTATGTCGCTCTACTTGGGCTTCAGCACCAGCTACATCCTTTGCCAAATCATCCGCCGATATTAACGTATTCATGTCATTCATCCAGATACTCAAGTCTCTCCAGTCAGCCAAAAAGTGATGCATCTTGAATGACTCTTCCAGTTAACCTCTCCTATCTACAGCCTGACTTTTCAGCTTATCCCATGCAGTAATTAAGGCGTCATACTTGCCTTGTATAGTGTTTTGCGAATCAGGATGCTTCTGTGCAAGCGCCTTAGCATCATCTCCAAGTTGAACAATCTTTTTATCTGGGGCAGTCAAATCCCTTTCTAATGCTGCGTGCTTCCTTTGTAAGGCTTGGACTGAGGCAAGATCACGACCACAGTTCTCAATGGATAAAGGAATGGACTTTTCATTCACCCACGATATAGCTCTATCTATGTCTCTAAAGAAGCGCTGTATCTCATAGGCTTCCAGGCGCTTTCCTTGTCGTTTTCTAGCCAGATCTTTCAGACGTTCTAGAGCTTCGTGGACCTCTCTGGACTTTTCTATGACTAGGGCATCCTCAGGAAATTCCTCTTTTAGAAGTTCATCTGCCTTCCGGTAGATGTCTTCGGCACGACTTTCTTGATACTCGAGATCCTTTGTAAACTCATCAAATCTTTTTTGAAGTGTCTCAACATGTTCCAGGTCTTGACAGAAATCCTCTGATGTTACGTAAGTTTCTTTTTCACGTATCCAGTAAAGTATCTTGTCGACTTGGCGTAAAAACTGGACAAATTTAAGCGTTAGGTTAATAAGACGTGATTTTTCTCTGAAAATAGCCATAAGCCTTTCCCACATGGCATGCAATTCATCAAGACGGTTTTTGATAATATCTGTTGCGTAGTGTCCTTGACTAATCATTTCTTCTCCCGCAGAATCCAGAGCTGACAGTGTTTCAGCATGAACTGTTACTTCGAACTCAAGCTCTTGATGTTTCTGTTTTTTCAGCTGAAGATTACTCAGTTCTTTAAAATCCTCGTTTGCATAGGTTTGCAGTTTCTCATTGATCCAACACTCAAGTTCATCGGCATCCATCTTAAAATATTGATATCTTTTAAGCATGTCCAGAAACTTAGATGTGGTTCTGGCGAACTCATCATTAAGAGATACAGCGACTTTATGAGAAGTAGAAGGTTTGTAGGGCGATTTATTGTGACAAGAACATTCGCGACTACCTTGTCGTAATCTTTCTAATTCCATTTCTTTCTCTTTTTGCACTATGCGCAATTTCGCTAGCTCCAATTCTATCATATAGCGTGATTTATTCTCATTGCTTCTAGGGAAATCAGCTTCATTACTCTTTTCTAACTGTGGAGTTAACGACGGCATAGTTTCATAACTTTCGTATGCCATACTGTTAGAAACTTTGTAGGATTATTTTTGTCCTACAGATTTAGTCCTTCCTCAATACTGACGACACAGAGTCTGGGCTTAACTACAGTTAAAACAGAATGACTTGACTTTAACTTTATCTGTTTCTAAAACATAAAATAAATCATAAAATTACACCAAGAAAAGTGTACAAATCCACTGTCATTACAAAAGAAAAGGACAAAAACGTACCGAACAGTATTGAGGGTACGGACAAAATGAACAGTCAATTAATTACATGTATACACAAATAGAGTGACAGACAAAAAGAACATTCAAGGTCACGTCACGTGGTGAGAGTTACAATAAATTGACCAATAATCGCGACAAGAAGGTCACATCATATTGATTAACTGTCTATCATATAGTCTATCTATCTGTCGCGATTAACACCTTATATTCAAGGGTTTAAACTACCTAAATTGCCACTAATCCAACCTAACCACCTAACTCCACTATCTGCTTCCATTACTAGCAAAAAAGTAAATCAAACAGGACACATAAGCCTGTAAGAAATTGCAGCACTTCATTTGGTCTGCTGCAGCGGACACACTAAGTCCGGATATTATACTCTTCTCAGATGAATGTGTGGCAGACAACATCATGAAAGGTATATATAGTGACATCATGTGTAACGGTCAAGGCCGCGTAGATACCCGCTAAGTCTTTTGCAATACGAATCACAAGGCGAATGTCTGTTCTCTCATTTATTTGGTTTCTTGTTCTACACTAATTTGTGAGGGTAAAATGAAATAGTTATTTTCCATTTTTAAGGGGCCTTATAATGCCAAATTACGAAGACAACTGAATTTCCTTAGTCAAAAAATGAAGATCACATGTTTTAATATTGGAGTGGTGAAGAAATAGGTTGGTTGTCTAGAAAAACCGAAAAAATTTGAAGCAATACCCATCCTGAAAATCTACAAACAGTCGCATTGGTGCCACGGAAAACCCAATCAACGACAAGTAGCCGTTATCACTGTTGATGGGAGATATATGAAACCAGTCAACTCTTTCACTCGTCGTTTCAACTACAGTCAGCACGGATAAGGAATAAGGGGCCACTCAGGATCAGGGAAGTAGTACAAATTTTTATTACTCTCAAATAAGTATAGGAGTATTCTGATTTAACATAAGGGACAAAATAGGGATTTTCAGCACTGGTGTTACATTACTTCTTTTACAAGGTTTGGAGCCTTGGAGTATACCAAAGGGATTTTCAACAGGTTAAAAACTCTAATCAGCATCTGCCCACTTCGCCTACCACTGAAGACGAAAGTCTTAGCCAGCCGAAAACGATGACCAAAAAGTATATCTGGAACCTGACTAGCCAAGAACATATCGCCTAACGAAATTGCGGGAAAAAACAGAGGCAGATCGTATGTTACCTGGGGAGACTGTTACACGACAGGTTCTCCAGTGTAAGTCCAATCAGAGGTCACCGGTTTGGTATCCAATTTTAATATGGAGGAAATTATGCGTGGGAAAATAAAAGCATTCGATCAATTCAAGAGCCCACTAAAAGGACTGAAGAAAACTCGGAAATGCCGCTAAGGCCCTACGTTTCACTGGGAACCCCTGCATGAAAAATCATAATAAAAGCACTATGAGATATACGGGAATTCATTTCAGGGATAATATATCTCTAGGCATACCTAGCTTTGCGTTCAGCAAAGACTTCGATAAGCCATTTGGAACTAAGTGTCGCTTTCCCAGCTGGACGTCTGCTCAGTTGGAAAAACCGTTATGTGTTATCTGTGGTGGCTGCATTACAGCAGGCAAAGGACTTTTATTGTTATTGTTTAGCCTATTTCTCAGGCCTCGAGAAGTGGAATTTAAGCTCACTCATGTATGGGATCCATCCATGTGAAACTTCTCCCTCGTTAGGTTTAAGTAAATCTCAATATGAGCAGATAAATGCACTAGCTGAGATGGAAATATATGAAACATTAGTAAGCCAAGAAAACATGAGGGAAAAATTTCTTATTTGTCCCGAATACTGGATGGAAAATTGTATGTCCCTTAAGAAGCAGTGTTGATACCACTGAACTTCTGGAACCTAAAAATTTTCCATTCATACAAGTTGCTCCCAATTAATCTTCAGCCGCGAAATAATAACGAAGTCCTTGAAAATTAGTAAAATAATTAGCAATGGCTCTTGGACGCTGATTCTCCCACAACGTGTACATCTGAAGGCAAATTCAGTAATGGCTTGACGGAAATGTTATCCTATCCGTGCATTAAGCAGACAATAAAGAAAGGCATTGTTTAGGAGGAATTTGTGTTTGATTTCTGCGTAGCCTTCCACCTTTTGGTCATAATGTTGTGTTGTTTGACGGACAGAAATTAAACGTAACGTACAAGGTCATTGATGGAGTGAGACGCTACAAGGTCATTTTCGTCCATGTTAGTCGGCCATGTTGGATTGCAGTTCTGTTGATTACAGCTTGATTCCACACCATATTTTCAGTACAAGTATGGAATTATCAGCATGGATATCGGTAGCTCAAATTTTACAGGCCGACCATAGATATCGGGTGTGCGCCGGCAGAGGATTAAACCCCGGACCATGTGCATGGTCGGCAAGAGTCCTTACCACTGTGCCACCGACGCACAAAGAAAGGGAGGACCGTGAGGCCTCCCCACTGACAAAAACTACACGCCCGATTAGGGTCTGTCGCGAGTTTCAACCCACCGAGGTGCAATGGTGAGCCTCCACCCGGGGTCAGAGCATTCTTGATCACACTGAACCCGGCGTCAAGTTGACATGATAAGAAGGTAAGCACAGTATCAGTGTGTCTATTATCAGTTAACAAACACCCGGTATATTGTGAGAGAATCTAAATTAAATAAGGATGAGCCACATATGAAGTATGACTATGCGGTGTATGTATGTACTTTTGGACACAAAAGGAAATCCTTAGGTAATCACATCCGCCTTAGAGGGTAAGTATCCTGTGATTTTTAATGTCTGACGGAGTAGATCTAAATACAGTGTTTGCCCATCAATGATACGCATCCGATATCATCGCAATGAATTCATTATACCATCTGTATATATGATTCATAATCACTATTGCACTCGTGATTATTTAATGAAGGATGCTAGAGCACGCTAATTAGGTGAGTCTGAACTCTCTATAGATGAGCCGATGCTGTCTGTTTCATCCGAACCTGGAAAGGTTATTGATTACGTTGCAGAACGATTCAAAAAAAGGATAACGTACAATGATCTACGAAATATAAGAGCTACTGTAGTTGAAGGTGAGACTTTGATGTACAAGAATAACCTTTCAGATTGTGATTTACGGTCAATGGTTTTTTCCAGATTACACCAAGCTGGGAAATTGGTTATAATTCGGGATGAAAACGATGAAAGAATAAGAATAGCATGTTTTAGTTCAAATAGGCAAATCGAAATTTACCACAAATTCCCTGAGGTCGTGGGTTTCGATTCCACCTACAACACTAATAGAGGAAAGTAGGTGTAAATGTTTTCTACGTCAAATATTTGAAGCTATAAACTGTTTCAATTTGTTGTTACAGACTCTCATGGAAAAGGTCTGCCGGTTATGTTTGCATGGAGTAGGCAAGAAAGGCTGGATGATTTAACGACGATTCTGGATAAATTTAAATGTGTAATGGGTACGACTTCCAATACAGAAACGTTTGTCATGGATTGCGCAAAAGCATTGAGAGGTGTAGTTGAGACAACGCACCCACTTTGCAATATAATATTGTGTGCATTCCATGTTTCTCGTGCTATGCGTAAAAAGGTAAGTTTTGTGAATTTCAAAGATTTTGTAGACAAAAAGTAGGCTTGTTAGGTAGTACCTGTCGAGTATGATTCGCGAGGAATCAATTCATGGGTAAATTTTTAGAACTGATCATAAATTTATTTACAGATTCTACACATACCTCGGTATCATACGGCATCTGGATCCCCGTTTTGCGAGGTATGTACACAGACACTGGCTGCCTTTGAAGAAACTATGGGCGGCAGCATTCAACCGTAGTGTTTTGTCACTTGGCAATAACACTAACAATCGCGTTGAAAGTTTACACAGATGGATGAAACGAAATTTGTCAAGAGGTATTACGCTACATAAATGTATGTGGGAGGTGTACCGATGGAGTGACAGGAGGTTGCGGAGAATTGATGGCGAACGAGATGTGAACATAAGAGTTCTGGACAACAGGATACCTAGTTTGCAACCCTTACTGTCGAAATTAACAGAGTATGCCGGAAAAAAGGTTGTTGCAGATTTCAGAAGAGTAAGAAGGGCCCGCATTGAAAACCGTATTTCTCACAACGTATTTTTCGTCGACGGATTCACACACCCAATAGTTGATATGGCAAGAGGTACATGTACTTGCAGGGTGTTCACCACCTGCAAGTATCCTTGTCGTCATATGGTAATCGCTCATCTGACTTATCCCCATTTTGAAGGTAAGTGAGACGCACATTGATCTTACAATACAGTTGATCGCGTTCTGAAGAATTGTCGACGATGGATGCTTGCTAACAAATCCACTACCCGTATTAACTGCTGCACCGGTAACACGAAACAGTGACATTGAAAACTATCAAAAGTTGAAGCGGAGGTTTTGTAGATTTCTTGACGAACGCGTAAATGCAGGTTATGTAGAAAAAGCAACTGCCTATTTATTGTCTTCGTATAACCGGTTAAAGGAAGGAAAGGAGGATGTATGAGACATCAGTGAGAACGTGGAATGGCCCTCTTTAGGGCCACCAAATACCGATTTCATTGACTTCATCAGTTTCACTTTAAATTATGAAATCGGATAAGTAGGGTAGGAAGAAATTAATCCGCAATCTCAGTAATGATTGTGAAGATGGTTTCCGAGTAATTGTGAATAGTGAATCTGTTGTGGAGATAGGATATACATTTTTTACCGAAAAAATCATCTGAATGTCCTATTTAACCTTATAATTCTAAGACAGTCTTCAGTTGGTTACTAAGGTTGTAGCTGTAGGAGATTGTATTAGGCCACTTCCGATCATGCAAATAAGGTTGTATCTGACTATGAATGACTTATTGGCTTTGTACTGGGTAACTTCTACACCCAAAAAGCATCCTTCTTGGTGCCATATTGTACCAAGTTTTAATGCGTTTAAATAAATAAATAAATAAAATAACTGCGGTGTTTGCATATCTACTTTATGAATATTAAATAACTCACGCCTTTATGCATCTAATTATTTAAAAAATTCATATGTGAGAACTACGATTTGACCAGATTATATTTATTATATTATATAATACATATATATTTAGACACTATAAACATACACTGCTTACTTCTGTGAAACATTATCTAAAGCTACCTTAAAGTAGTTCCCCCTGAAAATAATCTCCTGTTGCTACTACCTAAGTGAGCAACTCAACGTTATCTTTGAATTACAAAGTTAAAGCGGACATCCTGAGAGCTTTCTGGGTAAAAAGATCGTCTCCCAGTCGGAAAAATAAACATATCCTAATCTCCTCACGAAAGCGTTTAGAGGTATTTATCCTATCGCCTCAAATGACTCACTATTTTCTGTCACTTAAAAAGTAAAAATAAATTTACCGAAGACAGCGTGCTTATGGTTTGTATATATCATAATGAGGAAAAAGCTTTATCCATAGGGTTATAACAATCAGATGCGCGATATAAATCCGAAACACAACGACTACGATTCTCAATCACAGAACATTCTACTTTGCTACCTAATCGTCTCAATACCATTCATCGGGATAATAATAATAATAATCTATATTTCGTAGAAACGGATAAGTTTACAAGAAATGCATGCCACTTTTACAGGCACGATCAGTTATGTTATAAATTACAATCCTGAAGTATCATTAATTAACACTTTTTCAAATGTTTGAATTGTTCAATTATTATATAAGCAATCAGAACAGGTTCTTATAAATGTTAAATTGTGAACCCTCCACTAAGGTCACCATCAAAGTTGAGCGACAACCCAAACTTCGTTTCGTTTCCTTCTGAACAAAGAGAAAATTGGAACCCATTAGGTCACCAGATACATCGATATCTGAGGATATTCTTAAGATTCTCTGAACACTTTCGATTTTTTTTCAGTCTGCAGACCTTAGGCTACTATACACGAGAGCACAATATTCAAGTTTGGGGCGGATACATGTTCTATATATAGCTAATCTTGCTTTTTGGGTGTAGAAGTTACCCAGTACAAAGCCAATAAGTCATTCATAGTCAGATACAACCTTATTTGCATGATCGGAAGTGGCCTAATACAATCTCCTACAGCTACAACCTTAGTAACCAACTGAAGACTGTCTTAGAATTATAAGGTTAAATAGGACATTCAGATGATTTTTTCGGTAAAAAATGTATATCCTATCTCCACAACAGATTCACTATTCACAATTACTCGGAAACCATCTTCACAATCATTACTGAGATTGCGGATTAATTTCTTCCTACCCTACTTATCCGATTTCATAATTTAAAGTGAAACTGATGAAGTCAATGAAATCGGTATTTGGTGGCCCTAAAGAGGGCCATTCCACGTTCTCACTGATGTCTCATACATCCTCCTTTCCTTCCTTTAACCGGTTATACGAAGACAATAAATAGGCAGTTGCTTTTTCTACATAACCTGCATTTACGCGTTCGTCAAGAAATCTACAAAACCTCCGCTTCAACTTTTGATAGTTTTCAATGTCACTGTTTCGTGTTACCGGTGCAGCAGTTAATACGGGTAGTGGATTTGTTAGCAAGCATCCATCGTCGACAATTCTTCAGAACGCGATCAACTGTATTGTAAGATCAATGTGCGTCTCACTTACCTTCAAAATGGGGATAAGTCAGATGAGCGATTACCATATGACGACAAGGATACTTGCAGGTGGTGAACACCCTGCAAGTACATGTACCTCTTGCCATATCAACTATTGGGTGTGTGAATCCGTCGACGAAAAATACGTTGTGAGAAATACGGTTTTCAATGCGGGCCCTTCTTACTCTTCTGAAATCTGCAACAACCTTTTTTCCGGCATACTCTGTTAATTTCGACAGTAAGGGTTGCAAACTAGGTATCCTGTTGTCCAGAACTCTTATGTTCACATCTCGTTCGCCATCAATTCTCCGCAACCTCCTGTCACTCCAGCGGTACACCTCCCACATACATTTATGTAGCGTAATACCTCTTGACAAATTTCGTTTCATCCATCTGTGTAAACTTTCAACGCGATTGTTAGTGTTATTGCCAAGTGACAAAACACTACGGTTGAATGCTGCTGCCCATAGTTTCTTCAAAGGCAGCCAGTGTCTGTGTACATACCTCGCAAAACGGGGATCCAGATGCCGTATGATACCGAGGTATGTGTAGAATCTGTAAATAAATTTATGATCAGTTCTAAAAATTTACCCATGAATTGATTCCTCGCGAATCATACTCGACAGGTACTGCCTAACAAGCCTACTTTTTGTCTACAAAATCTTTGAAATTCACAAAACTTACCTTTTTACGCATAGCACGAGAAACATGGAATGCACACAATATTATATTGCAAAGTGGGTGCGTTGTCTCAACTACACCTCTCAATGCTTTTGCGCAATCCATGACAAACGTTTCTGTATTGGAAGTCGTACCCATTACACATTTAAATTTATCCAGAATCGTCGTTAAATCATCCAGCCTTTCTTGCCTACTCCATGCAAACATAACCGGCAGACCTTTTCCATGAGAGTCTGTAACAACAAATTGAAACAGTTTATAGCTTCAAATATTTGACGTAGAAAACATTTACACCTACTTTCCTCTATTAGTGTTGTAGGTGGAATCGAAACCCACGACCTCAGGGAATTTGTGGTAAATTTCGATTTGCCTATTTGAACTAAAACATGCTATTCTTATTCTTTCATCGTTTTCATCCCGAATTATAACCAATTTCCCAGCTTGGTGTAATCTGGAAAAAACCATTGACCGTAAATCACAATCTGAAAGGTTATTCTTGTACATCAAAGTCTCACCTTCAACTACAGTAGCTCTTATATTGCTTGCTAACAGAAATCCACTACGCGTATTAACTGCTGCACCGGTAACACGAAACAGTGACATTGAAAACTATCAAAAGTTGAAGTGGAAGTTTTGTAGATTTCTTGACGAACGCGTAAATGCAGGTTATGTAGAAAAAGCAACTGCCTATTTATTGTCTTCGTATAACCGGTTAAAGGAAGGAAAGGAGGATGTATGAGACATCAGTGAGAACGTGGAATGGCCCTCTTTAGGGCCACCAAATACCGATTTCATTGACTTCATCAGTTTCACTTTAAATTATGAAATCGGATAAGTAGGGTAGGAAGAAATTAATCCGCAATCTCAGTAATGATTGTGAAGATGGTTTCCGAGTAATTGTGAATAGTGAATCTGTTGTGGAGATAGGATATACATTTTTTACCGAAAAAATCATCTGAATGTCCTATTTAACCTTATAATTCTAAGACAGTCTTCAGTTGGTTACTAAGGTTGTAGCTGTAGGAGATTGTATTAGGCCACTTCCGATCATGCAAATAAGGTTGTATCTGACTATGAATGACTTATTGGCTTTGTACTGGGTAACTTCTACACCCAAAAAGCAAGATTAGCTATATATAGAACATGTATCCGCCCCAAACTTGAATATTGTGCTCTCGTGTATAGTAGCCTAAGGTCTGCAGACTGAAAAAAAATCGAAAGTGTTCAGAGAATCTTAAGAATATCCTCAGATATCGATGTATCTGGTGACCTAATGGGTTCCAATTTTCTCTTTGTTCAGAAGGAAACGAAACGAAGTTTGGGTTGTCGCTCAACTTTGATGGTGACCTTAGTGGAGGGTTCACAATTTAACATTTATAAGAACCTGTTCTGATTGCTTATATAATAATTGAACAATTCAAACATTTGAAAAAGTGTTAATTAATGATACTTCAGGATTGTAATTTATAACATAACTGATATTGTAAGATACGCAGACCTGTTGTGTTGATGAGGATAACAATTACATATAATGCAACCTAAACTTTCACTCGTGATGCGGCATCTGTACTGTTTCATGTCAATGGAAAATTCAGGAAAAATTCATCACTACTATTGGTGATCAAAAACATTGCAGCATTAAGTTTACAGTGCCAGTGAGAATGGCATAACAGACAGTAGATTGATGGTAATAGAGCTGACTAGATTCAGTTCTCATAATCGAGACAATCAATGTGTATAATGATACTATACACTGAATTATTGCACTAAGTGACACAGTAAGGAAATTTAAACGAGTCATTGCCTTCTCCACGGCACTGCACTTACAATAATCATGACAACCACCTACGTAGGTGGTTATCATAAAGAAGCTTGCGTTTATATACGATTTTTCGTAGTGATAAGTAGTTCGTAAGAATTGTTAGCCTACAGCATTCATCAGTCATCACTGGATACTGACCTTCACTGTTTAACTCTACTTGTTAAGCCGAAATCTCGCGGCCAAACATTTACGCCATATGGCATACCGTCATAGAGTCATAGTCCATTGCTATGGTGGTTTAATGACAAGTGATATATTTTTGTATACTTCTCAAATGAAATTTTGCATCAGAAAATTTTTGGCTTACATATTATCGACAGCATGATAGGCTTGAACTGAGTAACACTTGCTGCAGTTTTATAAGAAAACGTTGTTTGATAATGACATCTGCATAATGTAATAGATTAAAGGGGACACTAGATAAAGCAGATAGAGCCACTGCAGAAAAGGATATGCAATAATCAGCCATAAGAACCTAAGTTGATGTACGTCTTACTTTCGTAAACGTCAACGTGGTAACATCTCGTAAAATATCTTGCGTAACTTCTGATATACATCATCTCCTGAGTCTGTCACATCCCAATTATATGTACATTTTTGAGGCCTTTCTTGAACCACACACCGCCAAAGATTATTAATCAACAATATCGAAACACGACATGACGTCACGAGACTTGTGTTGCTATTGAACAGTAGCAAGTTATATCGAAAATGAAAATGTACCTCTGAACATCGGTTCAGCAAAATTGTGCAGGCTGTAAAAAGGTGTCCAGACACCTCAGAGTAGGACACGTCCACTAAGGGTTACACTAGGCTCTGCCGAAGAAACTGAGAGACTACTTTTAATGGCTCAGGTATTAGCTATTGACAGGAGTTCCATCATGAGAGTGCGACATGAGCTAACAAGCAAATGGCAAGGGAGTCATTGGAACTGGTGCCTCCTACCTCTGTGGTCATACATGGTGTTCCTGAGCTGGAAACTGAAACTGCTTGTGAAAGACACATGCACGACATACAGCAATGGAAACGTCTGTCATCTCAGATGGCCCTTAGTGCTTCTGGAGCGATCCCGATTTTCCAGCTACCTCGCTCAGCTCACCTAACACCAATTAGCTCCACAAGGCTGCTAAGTGTCGAATTCGGCCCTCAGGAACAGTTGGCTCTAGTGCTTTGATGGTGGTACGAGACCAAGGGCAAACTGAGATGATCCATCCGATGCTGCGAAAGCAGACCTCAAACCATAAGAAGACAGCAAACTGAGGTCCTAATAAGTCTCCAGGCCTCAGTGACACTGCAGCGATGCGGCACTAAAAGAATGACAATCATTGTTACCCAAGTGTCACTACCGACCTCAAAGGAAAAATGACAACGGACCGGTTCCATCGAAACCGGCCAACTAGCCTCAATATTAAGTCCCCTACCGGTAGACGACGTAACGTCAACTACCCCACTACACGCCGAGGTTGTAAGCCTCAATGTCAGCTGCCTATATAGCAATGCGAGAGGGCTGAGAGGGAAAGTGGGTGTGCTCAGAAACCTCCAGTCGCACCCACGCCTTGAAACAAACATCCCCACATAAACCTGGCTAAGCTTCACTATCGCCGACCACGAAATCAGGATGCGTGTCAGGAGAGGCAGGGTAGCAAAGAAGGGGGGGGTTTCCATATACTTTGACGAGTAACTTAAATGTATACGTGCAATGGACCTACCACTTACTGAATTCCCAGACTTCAATTGGTGTCATTTCACAGTAGGCCACACCGAACATTTACTGCGTGGCATCCACCAATCTCCCAAATGTGGGGCAGAGCACGACCAGCACCATCACAGGGATCCGGGACTTGGGCTATGACCAAATCACCATTACTGGAGATTCCCATGCCCATGCCTGAACCTTGGCTCGATGTAGGCTCTGGGAAAATTCGGGTCGAAATCTACTGCAAACCATTAGAAATACGGGGCTGACTGAGAATGTTGGGGACGACACTAGGTGATGGCCCAATAGGAAGTCATCGAAACTAGATTATATTCCAGCTAGTGAGAAACCACTCGTCGAAAAGGTCCAGATCATGACTCCACTAGGAAGTAGTCAACATGCAGTCAAAGGATTCGATCTCGTCCTCTGTGAGAGCTTACGGTAGAAAGCTACGCAACCAAGTCCGTGCGGTGACCATTCTGAATATGCTGTAATGCTGAGGCTATTGTCTGTCGTAGAAGTGGCCCATAGATTGTACTGAGTTTTCTGTGGGTAAACACTGGGAACTGGTAAGAGAGATTATTCACACAACAATCTTAGGCACAGTCCTTTTAGTCACGACACAGACGGACAAAAGGTCCTTATGTCTGAAGAGAGGTACGGAACGTATTCTGCAAGCGAAGCGGAAGGCTTAGTCTACGCGGCGAGTATCCAAGAGTCAGAGAGACCACGAGGCATACCTGGAAATCAGGAACCGGTGCAACGTGAGAGTTAGGGGTGACAGGAGGACATTTCAGACCAGCCTTGCCAAAAATCCTGGCTAATCCCAAAAGGCTTTGCCGATTAATGTCGGAGAAAAACCAACCAACCGGAGGGCGTACGCCTTAGCAGGTCCGAACAGTCAATACCACACCAGTCTGAAACATTCAGTTAAGCCATCGCCAGACAGTTAAACAGCAAAGTGTGTAATACAGGTACGGACCGAAATGGTGGCATTAGTGGCTAATCCTCAAATAAACCCGGCAATATAACTAGGGAAGCTAAAGAGTCTCACATCTGGAAAGTCCCAAGTTTGTGACGAATTCGGACCATCTGTTCTGAAACAGTGCGCCGAAGCTCTCTGTAGGCCCATTTGCGGCTTGTTGCAACACCCGATGGGTTCAGAGAAACTGGTAAGGAGGTGGAAAAGAGCCACCCTTTCTCCGATTTTCAAGGGTGGGGGCAGGCGAAATGCCACTAGCTGCAGACCAGTAGCGCTACTCCTAGGGTATCAGAAGTACCGGAAAGTATTACTGACGATCATATCAAGGATTACCTCGATTGGACCAATATACTCCATGAGGCCAAACATGGTTTCAGGAAAGGCAGATCCCGTGTAACAAACCTACTGTCAGCTTGTGACGATTGTACATCATGTCTCGAAGGTAATCAACTACCAAAAGCTCAGTAGTAATGTTGTGATGGCAGAAGACAAAGGCCAGGCAACAGATCGTTTGTTTAGGAAATCAACAGATATTTATAGATTTTCATGTACATTATTATAGATTATTGTAAGCAAACAAACACAGTCTTCTGATTGGTGGTTTCTCGCTGAACGTCAATCTTTCATCCCTTTGTGGCTGTTTCTTGAATGTCAGATTATCTATCTGAAAATTGTATCCGCCTACGCAAAATCTGCTGTGATTGGTTATTGAGTCAGTCTTTGTTCTTATTTTTCTCATGACCAGTATTGGGGACGTAAATTACTGTCTACCAATTTTGGCTAGCAACCAGCTCTCACCACAATGTAACGATTCAGCTGTGTCACTTTTCTTCTAATTTCCCTTGTTCACAGAATTGTAGCCGCGTATGTCGAATTCCTCCGAGCTTGACCGTGGTCGTGCCACTTTTTCAAAAATGCATCACATTTAAAGCTGATCAATACCTAAGTCATGTATCATGGGGATTTCCATTTTTAAAAAATAGTCGCATTATCCGTATATAATACCTGCAGATATTGCATGCTCAGTTTGTCGCACGACTCACACTTTTTCTTGATTGGTATGTAACAGTCGGTCGAATTTTAATGTCATTTGAATTTTAGACTTTTGCAGATCTAACATCATAGTCTTTATTTTGCATTGAACATTTCTATGCTAAATATGCAGTAAATGAACAATTTGATTGGTTAGTGTATAAGTAAAATGTATTATTCATTGAGAATAATCAAGTACTCTTTGGATTGGCTGTTACGAAATAGAGTAGTGCGATGAACAATTTTTTTTCTAGTCTAATCAAGTATAAAATACGTTGTGCCTGTTTATATTTTTAACGCTTTATGATGGGAAAACTGAATGTAAAACATTTAAATTTGCATACTCAGTAGTGTTTCATTCGTTCCAGGTAATAATACTCATGTGATATGTAATTTGCATCAAGCAGGAAACAAGCTACAGACCTAATATTAGGCTTAATTCTGTGGTAAGTCTCACGGTTGAACTGGAAATTGATGAAATTTAAATAACTTCAACCTTAGAGAGATAGTTTTCATTATGGTTACATATTTACGAAATAATTAATTACACGACATGAACATAAATTCTAGACATTTTGTGATGTTACAAACAAAAAAGCTTAAACAATAATCTATGTATATAAACAGAGAATATTAGACAGTCATGCCTGTCAGTGGAGTGAACACACATTAAACACTATTTAAGAAAAAAATATTCAGTTGTCATCTGTTCACGCGTACGTATGAGAAATACAGTATAATTAGTATAGTTTATATATGTATATAAGAGTTGAAATGAGACATTTACGAATGATACCCATAAATACGCTTTTAGTTGGTGGGATAATTTGGACTTATATTTGCTTGAGTGTATTTTTTAATATTAATTTATGCAGAATGCTTCCACTGCGCTTATCCTTTCCGTTGCTAGGATATCGACGATAAACAACTCAATTGTTGATTGCAGAGTTATTCAGGGTGCTAACACAGATTTTAGATACTTATTCCTAGGTTCAAGGATTCCCTAAGATTTTCTGAAAAAAGTTATGAACACGTCAGATGCGTTTAAATACGAATGCAGACATTATGAAAGGATTTACTAATGGGACACTTATCAAAATTCATAAAATATAACCAACCAATATATATATATATAAGTGACATAGAAATAATTCCATATTAGTTTGTTTATTAAATATATCACACAGTGAAACAGTATTATTTACTGGATGACGTTTCGAACAAAATTTATTACAATTGATATGATTATGAACAATAAATTTTGTTCGAAACGTCATCCAGTAAATAATACTGTTTCACTGTGTGATATATCTAATAAACAAACTAATATGGAATTACTTACTACCACAGTGCTCAAGTTTTACACATATATTGACATAGAAATAATAAATCTTGTTAAAACTAAAATTAACAGAACACTAAACATTTTCAAGTGTAAGTTTGTAGGGATTTGATTTGTTTCACGTTTGATGGCGAATCGATATCAGTTTAAGAACCACTGAGTACTGGACAGCCGTTTCGTTATAGTCTGGAACTCGTCGGTAGTACGCACACACTAGGGTTCGAACTCAGGACCTTCAGGTCACAGGGTAAGGTCGTAAACTATTCATCCACCCTCAATGGCCCATTAATTCCAAGTTCTTTCAATTCATGAATTTAGTGCCACCACCAAGCCAATGTCATCGACGAGTATTTGTTCTTACTTTCGACCGTTTGGGCGCCAGTGGTTACAACTTCTCACTAGAACTCCGCACAACTTCATCCTGTAGTCAATCACCAGCACTAACAAGTACAGACAGACAAACTGTCCCAAGCCGATTTCAGATTGCTACAAAAATGTAATCTGACTCCATTTGACTAGACTCTATTCTAAGTTCTTCAAATTAATAGAAGAGAAATGACATCATGTGAACCACAAATAAAATATTCTGAGAAGCACAGTTTTAGGGAACTTAGAGTTGTATTAATGTTATTTCATTAAGATATTATTGTATATAAAGCATAAAGTGCAATAAAAATTTGCATTTAACATCTATACTTAAGTTCAAGCCCATATTGCAATTGTTATTATGCTTAAAGCAAAATGGATAAACACCATATTAACTAGGGTATATATATAAATATGTATATACATTTATACGACCGGATAAACAGGGAATAAATTAATCAATTTTTTCACGAAAAAAACTCAAAGTATATCAGCAGTTTTGTTTTTTAAAATTCTTTTTAATTCCTAGTTAAATACAATTTCACAGAAAATATTATTAGTTAGAATTAGTAATCTTGACAATAATAATAATTCATCATGTACAAATATATGAAAGTATTAAACAGTTATGAAAAAGTAACGAAAAAGAAAATTAGATTGATAAAAAAAGGAAATTTATACAAAAGAATTGATCATTCTCAAAAATTCAGATAATAAGTCTACGATTTTCAGAGTTTAAGTCATCAGTATGGCAGCCTCCGTCACCATCATTGTTATCATCAGATGAATGACTGACGCCCTCTTGTACTGAATCCAATTTCGGGATATTATGTGATTTAATACGATGTTTCTTGCCAGATCGATGAGAATGACGTTTTTTCTTTCTAATCATTGGCGGGTGTTGAACATCAACAAAAAAGTCATCAACAGGTCTGTTAGCCAATGCTTTGGATCTTTCAATTAAACCAGACATCATTATGGGGAGCATGGAGTTCATTGCTCTATCTAACAATCTTTGAGGTAGTGATAACTGAAATAGGAAGAAAAGTATTTGATTTATGACTGGTAGCTAAGATTGCATACAGAAAGAAAAGTATGACGACTATATGATTGTTTAATACATGTGGATTGAGGATTACTTTTCTTTTTTTTAAAGAGTAAGATAGCTAATTAATATTGCTAAACAGTAAAAAAAACTAACATTTACACACGATAATCTTCTCATAAGCAAAATACCAACTTACCTTTAAGTCATTACATAAGAGCCAGACAACATTGCACGAATTCGGACATCCGATAATTGGTCGAAATATAAATGCACTAATCACTTGTTGTGCTCTGACAACAATAAAATGCATACAGATAAGAGAAAAAAAACACGAGAAACAAATGAAAAAACACTAATGGTATGGTAAATTTTAATATAGAATATATTAACATTAAGAAATTGATGTTATTTTTTAATTTACTGGCTTAACTATTTGACCTTTAATTAATGCACTCCATGTAAGGGACTTGTTACACCTCATTTAGTTTGATGATGACCAAGTTGTGTAAGAAAAGAAATGCGATATAATATAAATGTGCAGGAGAATGAAGGCTGATAAGAATTTTCTGAGTCTAGAAAATCAGAGTGAGTGAAGGATGCAGAGCGGGATTAGAATCTGGGATGCACTGGTTGTGAAAGTCAAGTTGGTTAACACCGATGAGACGCAACCCTGCACTATGAGAAATCCTTACCAGGTGATAAAGTTGGCACTTATTATTAATATTATTCATGGGATTGTTACTTTAAAATACCACAAATCGGGGGGGGGGGGCTAGTTACACTTGGATTCTCCATTTATCTAAGAACTATTATGCAACATTTTATTGTATTTGTATTTTGTCTGTGATCAGTTTTGGAAATAATCAGGAAAGCTAAAAAGCTGAAAATCTAAACAAAATTGTTCAATTCTTCTTGATTATTAAGACTGATTTCGTCTAATTCTGAATTATAGATCTACGTTGGCGGAGAATTTAATTGTCAGTCCCCATGTGTTTGTTTAAAGATATAAAAGCACCCATGCGCAGTCTAACTGAAGAGATTTTCTAGATTATGATCAATAATAATTCACTCATGAAGCAGTTGAAAAGTGACATTAAAAAGAAGACTTAAAAAAGGTGTACTAGTGTGGCGTGGTTTGCTTATAAATATACAAAAAAACAGTGTTTCAAGTAATGTCTTCGAGAAAAGCAAAGATAGTTTGAGTGTGGCTAAGTAAAGGCGTAGTAAAAAACCATCAACAGTTTGATATTAGACCACCGGATCCGAACCAACCACAACGCCAGCCAGCAATGACGAATCATTCTCTACCATTCACTGGGTACCAAATAAATTGCCAAAAACATCCAGTTACCGCATACATCAAACAGCAGAGGCTATCGCAATTCGCCTGAAACAACCAGTGTTCAGTGTGCAGAAGAAACAAGTCCAGTCACTACTACTGCCCTGGCCTTCAGTGGAGACTATAAACTCAGGACTGTCTATTATAACCTTTCCTAATTTTTCTGACATTCAGTTTATTGTTATGTTGATGCTATCGAACGGTAATCTATTGATACTACTATTATTATTAATTCGATGTTATTTAAACAACATTAATGTTTTTATTAACACTCATTCATTCACTGCTATACGACTATAGGACCTGATGAAGAAGGGGTTATCGAAAAGAATATTCTTTCTTCAGTATCCATTCTTTTGAAAAAAGTAAGCTTATTTAAACTGTAGGCTTACCGAACATAGTTTGAAACTGGTGGACATTTAGGATGTTCAACGGAAGTACAACATAAGAAATAACAATTATTTTCACCTTCTCCCCATGATCGCAGTATAACGAAATCCCTATAAACATAAAAAGGAGAAAAAAATTCGGCTTAATTCATTCAATAAAAAAAGTTGAAGTTAACGCATAAAAAATTGTTAAATTACTGTGAAATATGACCAAAATATATTTGCACTGTAGAGTAATATTAATTCAGTAAACACACGCATTTTTGTATACACCACACAATGGAACACTATTTTTTTTTCAGGTTAATTTGCACTTCCCGTTGACTGATTATGCTGGGACGAAATGCTCAGTCTCTGTTGACATTTCAGCTCCTACTGTAACGGCAGAATCCAAGAGATCTGGTAAAGGAATGTTTATTAGGAATTCGGTATCTCCATATAGCTAAATTATGTGCACGTTATCTGCAAAACGTCATTTGCACAGATCTTCCGTGTTATGCTACTTCTGTCCTTCTTAATTTGTTTCTTTGTCTTCTTTTTCACATCTTCCTTGTATCTCCACAACGCACTGAATCATTTGCTTTCTTTGATGCCAAATCTATCCTCCCTGCTATTTGATATTTTAATGCCGATGAACGTCTCCCTATATACTACTGATAAATCTTATTAGTAGCACACACCACACTACTACTGGCCATCGACCAAGACGATGACAATAGAAACTATAAATATCCTGTCAGTAAACAATTGGTCAGAAGATGGGTGCAAGAAATGAAGTGGTTTTGTATCAAAGTGAATCGGTGTCTGAAGAGTAATAACTATTTTCATAACAGTTCACAGCTAGTACGGTTATTTGATTGAGAACTTAACGAGGTCATATTCCTGAATCTATGTTTATTACTACACATGGAAGGATATGACTTTGCCACTTTATACATAGGAGGAAAATGCTCATTTTTATCAATACAACAACAAGAAAAATGTTTTACTTCATTGATTTTTTTTAATAGGTAGATTCAAGTGCAATACACAGTGAAAACTGGTGAGAAGCAGAAGTGAATGAAATCGTGTCTCATAAATGGCTGAAGTTACATTAAAAATAAGAGAGACAGGAACTACACTTAAGAACACAAAGCGATTAAAGTGGTTGGCAGTTATATCTCTACATCAACCTTATTAGCTTTGAAAAGGCCTTCAACAGCGTTGATCGAGAAGTAATTTGGAAATCACTTCAACACTATGGAGTAGAGTGCCTCAAATATTCAACAGGCATATGACAATTGAACATGTCAGGTGATCCACAACGGAAAGCGCAGTGAAGTCTTCGAAGTGAATATAGGACTAAGACAAGGCTTTCTGTCGCTGCGTTGATATTCCTAACTGTGGTGGATTGGATTATGCGGAAGACTGTGGGGAACAAGAAGACACTGATAAGAAGACTTTAGAAGATCTGGACTTCGTGGAAGATATATGTCTAACATCTCATAAATTCGAGGACTTACAGGAAGAAAACAACAAATTGGCTGAAGAAGCAGAGAAGTCGGGACTCCAGGTGAAAATAGAGAAGGTGGAGGCGATGAAGATGACTACACAATTGCAACAACAAACAGCACCAATCACTATCAGCGGGAGAAATTTGACAGATGTTACTTCCTTCACTTATCTAGGAAGCACTGTTTCAACCACAGGTGAAAAGGATGAAGATGTCAAAACTGGCCGGAATCGAAAAGACAAGATGCACCTTCATCGTTCCGAATTCAGTTTGGTAATCTTCTGAACTCCGCAAGACTCGAATTTTCAACATCAGTGTTAAGTCAGTCCTTCTATATGGGTCAGAAACTTGGCGTGTCACGGAAAGCATTTCAAACTTTATCGATAGCTGCCTTCGCTGGAGCAGTATTGAAGATCAAATGGCCAGAAAGAATTAGTAATGAGAAACTCTGGGAACGAAGCAATAAAGAATTTATTGCTCAACAAATATGCCAGCGAAAATGGAGACGAGTCGGACACATACTGAGGAAACCAACGGGTGACACCAAACACCAGGCCCTTGAATGGAATCCGAGTAGAAATAACTACTTGAAATTTCGAGGGTGACATGGAGGATATCGTGTGAAGGGGAAATGAAAGCTTATACTCAATCGTGGGGCCAGTTGAAGACAACTGTAGAGAACAGGACACCTGTTGACACCCTATGTTCCACTCAGAACCCAAGGGAGTAATAATAATAATAATAACTCTATCAGGTGAAATTCGCAATATAGCAGGAACCTGAGAAACTCTTGGAATCAATTTCAAAAAGACAGAAGTGAGAAAAATACATTTTAAATCCACACGTTCTCATCCTCTCAACCATTCTTTTTCTTCACTCAATTATTGATTTAATTATTATATATTTTATATTCCTTCTTTTTATGTTCAACATTCATGTGTTGAGGTAGAAATGCGGTAACTTGAAAAAAATGCAGTCATACTAAAACACGTCCGCATCTTGTCGATGGGACATACATGAATCCTATCCGAAGTCAATCAGTCAGCATCAATAGTGACTGTACGATGTAACCACTATAAAAATGAAATTGATAATTTCTTCTAAATCAATAAAATAGTAATGATACCATGGGAAGCAAAAGTTTATCTAAGTTTACAACAAAACTTTCAACTTAAATCACTTTTTTTACAGAATTTAAAGAAATAATGAATATCTTCAAGACTAAGTTGGAAACGAAAACAGTTGCCAATAAATACTCTGTTCAAAATATATCAAATTGTGTAAAGTAATCAACAAACCTTGCTGATATCAAACCTCCTAAAGCGTCCTTGGCTATATTATATATGATGTCAATATTTTCAGCAGTTAATGTTTGAATACTCTAAAAAGAACAATAATAGAAAATAACCACCATTACTTAGTGAAACCAGTTTCAAATGTGATTGCAAAAATTAGCTTTGTATGCAAAAGGGATATTTTTTTAAAAAAGCGTACAAGGCTCATTGAGTTCGAACACACACATTGTAAAGATGAAGAACGATAGTAAAAGACAACAATCCAACTAATCTGAACAACTAATGAAAAGGAAACACATTCGGGTAGGCATTCTATGTAAGGATAAATGACTACAGAAAATACTTTTCACAGAGAAACACGATGATTGATCGATGGCCAATGGCGACGGCATTGATTGTTTGTTGGCTAGGTTTGTCACACTTTAGCTTTGTTATAAAACACTTCAACCAAGAAACTGGTATAATTTACCAAATATTTATTGTTCAACTTATTGCCTAAATGTTTGGGCAACAACTGATAAGCAAGTTTTGAATGCCTTGAAAAAAGAAAAACAATTTTTGGCAGCAATTTAAATACAATGGAGAATGAGTCATTTGTCAATGGGAAAAGGGTGTTTTTGATATCTTTAGAAAACACCAGAAACTATTTCTAAAGCCTAATTCTTCAATTTCAGTGGTTAAAAAAAGAAAAAGTCAAGAAATGGAAGAGGAAAAGTCGGGGAAAAAAGATGACAATAGTGAAAATTTTAACCCTATTGTGAAACTACAAACTCTTAACATACAAATGCTAAGTCACTAAAAACATGGTCAAATAGGACTGCTGATTTTGTTCATTCTTGTAATTTTGTGTAATGCAGTTAGTTTTAGACGGATCCGCCTTCAGGGAGTGTAAACGCTGCGTCTATGAGAGTCATACTTTCACAAATGTCTATTATCTCGAAGAGATATAAAGGTTTAAAAAGGAATCACAATTATCTTTTATCTTTTGATTTATTTAGCCAGTGACTAACAGACATGTAATTTCAGATGCTGGCTCTCAGGTGAGTATTTATTATTGAGGCATATGAGAAGTTGTAATCACATGAACAAGTGAAATAGCAGTTGCAATCACTTAGTGTATCATGTGATGCATAATAAGCATTTGTAACAGTAAAAAATAAGTTGCATAAGGAAAGAGTTTGAATCATTATTCACATTTCAAGAGTGGTTTGTAAATAGCATTTATTGATTACCCAAGTGTCTAATAACAATCCGACGATGAGAGATATCAACAGGGGAATCACAAGTTATAATTGTTGCATGACAGGAGGATCTTGCGGCCTAGTGAATAGTGCCATTGGGTTTCAGTCTACGGTAGGGATACAATGATTTAGCGGGGAGGAGAAACATCTAGTTGACAAGTCCCAATTACGCCGAAACACGCGTTCTCGAATCTACAGCTAACTACCACCAAGCAAATTTAATTCTAATTTTTCGAGCGTTTTTGAAATAAATTAAATATGAATTCATGATAGATACACGAAGAAAATTAAACAATAGTGTAGTTATTACTACTAACCTCAACAGAAGATAAACTAGTATTCCAACTGGGTGTTTCATGAACATTCATAACCATATCATTGAAAATAATTTGCGGTGAAACTGACAACAAACCCTACGGAGAGAAGAATAAACGATTTGTAAACGAAAATGTGTTTATGAAGGCATAAATGAATATTTATTTTATAACATTAAGATAATGTTAGTAGTGATCCCAGAAGCATGCTAGCTGGTTAGAATCCTATAGAGACACCATGTTTTGCCTTAATTTTAAACATCACTTTATGAAACTAAATCAATTCAAGTTGAAATTAATTTGGATAGTTTCTTGAATTATTAGATATTGGTTTCTAAACATATAATCAGTGAAGAGGTATACCGACTTGCGTAAACTATCCTATTGGTTTCTTTTATATTCGGACAAAATTAGCCTGTTAAAAGTAAGACTATATGAGATAGCCGCAGTCACATTGACTTATTTGGTGTAATAAATTGATAATAGCGATTGAAACAAAAGCTTGCGATGCGGCAAGACTCAAACCATAAACCCTCAGTTAAATTAGCCCGTCATTCTATTGATTGAGGTAGGAGCGAAAGACGAGGACGAAAGAATAACTTCAATTCTGAAAGGTTTCACCTAATTGTTGTTATTGTGTAAGAGATATACAACTCTCTGATGAATGGCGCTACACTAGCGTCAAAGCCAGATTTACTCACCTGAAAGTGATCACTTGCGAAAAGCAGAGAGCAGAAATTCCTAACTGCTGCTGACCCAATTGTTTGTCCACGGTAAAAATTCATTTTTTTAGAAAATAAATTACAAAAATTAGTCATAAATGATCTGTTTAAGAGGATCGAACTCAAGATAGTGTTGCTTACACACTCTTAAAGGTACAGGAGATAGGCTGAGTGGACGTCTAATGAAATTTAATACTACGAAGCGATTATTCAATACACTAGAAAATGTGAGATACAACAACAACAACAACAACGAAAAAGTTTTAATACAAACCTCTAAACGATAAACTTTAGTCGGATAATTAGGCAAATTTTCACAAAGTAAAGGACATCTGATACTAGTGGATGGTGTATTATCACCCCAAATATCATGTTCATATAAAATCCACATTTCTCTTTGCAAAGTATTAGTTCGATGCAACAACGCAGCAACCTGTTACAATACAAAAAAATGAAACAAATCTGTACATTAGATTAGTGTGAATAGGCACTAGTTTTGGAAAAATGTATTGAAATATTAACTGACCACATATACCAGAAAAAACACAGAGTACAAAGTAGATCAATAGATAAGAGTAAATGAAAAAAAATATCGAAAATACATGAATAATAAATTAAAGTGGGATACGGTAGATAAGAAAAAGACATATAAGCGAACAATATTGTTTTCAATTATGTATTCTTCAGGCTTTACTCTTATTTACATAGATTTATATATAAAAATTTTAACGAATGACGGTGATTTTGTGGACCAAATAATAGTAATAATAATAGTGTGGTAAGTGTTTTGAACGTCATTATTAACGATGATTATAATGATCAAGTATTGGTTTTGTAGGGATTTTGTTTGATTGGTTGGAGGAGGATTTCATCATAAGCTGACACCAGTTAATGATAGTACTGATAACAAAATAGCGATAATAAGGTTTATGTGGGTGGCGATAATAAAAACGAAGGAGCGACTAAATTTGTAGATACACATAGGAGTATCCACAAATTTAGTTGCTCCTGTGGATAGAACTATATAGGGCGAACAACTAGACAGCTTAACAAACGCACTAATCAGCATCTTCCTTTATGGTTCGGAAAAGGCCAAATAAAATCTATAAGAAGTTCTATTTTGGCTCATTTGATTTGTAACGACAGAAGGCAAGGACCAGGCACCAGATAGTTTATTGAGAAAATCAACAGATATTTATAAATTTTTATGTACATTATTATTCGTTGTTGTTAGCAGAGAAGCAAGGTCTTTTGATTGGTTGTCTTCTCGCTGAAAGTTATTCTGTCATCTCTTTGTGGCCCCTTCTTTGAAGGTCAGACCATATATCTGCGAATCGTATTTGCACACGCTAAGTCTGATGTGATTGGTTGTTGAGTTCCTCAAAGTTAGGCTTTGTTGTTTCGTCTCGTGACTCCGATTCGGGACCTAAACACTGACGTAAATTGTTGTCTACAATTTTGGCTGGTAGACAGCTCTTATCACAGATTGATAGTGGTCACCAAGTGGATAGAAACAGTGCCTTTAAAGTTATCTATCGCATTCCATCGAGCCTTTCGAACAGAATTCGAACCCGCCTTTTATACATAGCCGAAGGTATGGGAATCAATTCGAGAGAACAATCCTAGTATTTGCATACAACAGAAGCAGTTTGTTCTGTCTTTGCCTAGGTGAATTCTAATCAAAACTCTCCCATCCTTTCTTATTTTCCATTTCCTTCGTACTCTTATGATATTTATTAAACTCTGATTACCTGTCCACTTCACCTCTAGTGTTACGTAACTTTTAAGATTTGACCTAATTTATTTATTCAATTGTCTACATTCACATATTGCCTACTACCTTCGTTATTATTATCGCCACTCACATAAACCTTATTATCAATATTTTGTTATCATTATGATCATCGTTATTAATGACTTTCAAAACATTTACCACATTATTATTATTATTACTTGATCCACCAAATCACCGTCATTGGTTAAAAATTTTATATATAAATCTATGTAAATAAGAGTAAAGCCTGAAGAATACATAATTGAAAACAGTAGTGTTCGCTTATAAGTCCTGTTCTAATATTAATAATGGGAGTATTTAAAGATAAGGTAAATTAATAAATGAAAAATAAATAAGTAAACAGTTTACGATAATTCAGTATTTGGAGTAAGACAACTTAAAGGGTATCTTACTAACCATCAACTTAAATGTCCAACTAGAAGTTAATTGGTGGATATTGACTAGCAGTGGAATCCAGGATGCGAATTTCGGCCTATTTGAGACTCGTCCCCTGAATGTACCTGCATTTCCTAGTCACTGAGTGATGGTGTTCCCTCATCACGGCTCGCACACAGTGCTCCTAGTTTCAAACGCCAAAGCGTTATCATATAGACCACTTGGGCCACGAGAGCCACCTCTTGTGCAACGGGTCATATTAATTATTTAATTGAATTTTAGATTTTTCCGTCTATTGATTGGACTGAAGTGCTCGGTCTCAGATTGACATGTTGGCTTCTTGTGCAGATGCTTCGATAGTTCGGTCCATTCAATCGACGAGAAAATCTAAAATTGAATTAAATAATTAAATCTCCAACCCTTGAATTCTAAAAATCAGAGATAATGCAGTGCGTTTTCCTAACTTACTAGTAGTCAAGTTACTATCTCATTTTGAGATGATTAATGTGTGAATAATGCACAGGATGTATATCCACTGAAACACTTATTTAACAGGTAATTTGATTCCCAGTGAATGTTTAACACTGTACTTTTGTGTGGTATATGGAGTGTGTGGCCACTTGAGCTACTGCATTTCTGGGTTACGTTCTACGCTGGAACTCAGTTAGTCGGCTGTTTTAGGATGTAGAAATATTTTTGTCGGAATGTTAAGAAAGATGATTCGATCACGTGCGAACTTAAAGCATTTTTCTCATGTGACTATATATTGTCTTTTTGATCTTGACAAATCCTTCTCATGAAACGTCATGTAAGATATACACACATAGTTATTCTATTGTCTGGAGTCTTTTACAGTAGTAATTTCTAGTATTTGTTTATTACTTTGTGTTAAAAGATTTTCAAAGCCAAGCGAAATCGCTTATTAGTGTTATTTCCTCCAGATACCAGTGAGTTAACATTTGCTTCAAAAGAATTTGCATTATCCGTTGAAACAGTGTTTGAATATCCTATCACATGTGAAGATAGAATGATTAACTTAAAATGCATAGAAAATACGGTAGTTCAAATAATCACACATCGAGACAACATAGAGATGAAACTAAGTTCAATTAAGATATCTTCCAATAAATCAAATTATGGCCAAGGAAAGAGAAAAAGTCAAGATGTCTAAAATCCTAATTAAAAAGCCAAGCCATTGAGGCTGACTCACAACACTAAAGTCAGATGGTTGGAGGCGACCGGCAGGAAGCTCTGGATCCAGGTTTCGTGTTTGTTGGCACTCGTCAGCAAGGTGTGTCTGCAGTCTTGAAGGAACACATGTCCCCTTTGGAACTGGAACCCGAGTCGCACAGTGCTACCAGTGAGATAATCGGCCTTAGGATTGACCTCCAGTAGATTGCCCATAAGCTTTATTGCATCTTCATATGATCTCCTCTATGTCACCCGCGGATGTCCAACTCGTCGTTTTCCATTCGGGTTTCACTCGAAGGCCTGGCACGCGATGTCATTCAACAGTCTCCAAGGCGTATGTATATCCAATTTATCTCCATTGTTTTCTGTATACATTTTAGGCGGTAGGTTTCTAGCCCGTACAACATACATATGCATGAGAACAATCTAACAATAATTTATACAATGTAGCCTAATACTGTCATTCATAATAAATTTGTTTAACACAACTATAAGCCTTCAACAGAGAAAATAAAGTTAGAGGTTGAGTTGTGATGTCTGTGTGACAGATGAATTTGAAATACAACATTTCATAAAGACCATATATCACGTGTCTACATAAACACACACACGTCTCGAGATAATGAAAGTAATACGTTTTCATCAGTCAATCAATCAGATATACCAACACTACAAATGAAAATTCACTAAAAAATTAAATGATAATAATTTATCAATAGCATATTTTAATACGCAATCATTTCTGTGGACATCCACAAAAAGGTTACAATAAAGAGTCTACGAACTATGTTTCACCTCATTGCTATTGATGTGCATAAGTAGACTGCGCTGTCTGTTTACGGATAAAATAAAATTAAGGGTAATGAAGGTGTAGGATAGAAACACAAATAGCTATGAGATTAATATGTGATAGGTCAAGAGCTTTGATGATATTAGATAGTTGGAGGCAATCGGCAGGAAGCCTTGGACCCAGGTTTCGTGCTAGTTGGCACTCATCAGCAAGGCGTATCTGCAACTTTGAAGGAACTCATGTCCCTTCTGAGATTCGAACCAGCTTATTTATTAATATAAGATCTACTAATGGTACTAACTGACTGCATAGGCTGAATTAGTTGGAACAAGATTCGAATTTGGGGCACATGGGTTAAAAATCAAGTGTTTGAGTTGATAATAGAGTACGGAATCTAAACGATTTAACTAATAAAGACGAAAGGAATATTTATTAAAGTAACAGTTAAGAGGCGTTACTAGTCAAATAATAATGTTAGTAGTTGTTTGTATTAACTTACATCTACAGCAGCTTCAAGATTATGCGTTTTATGTTGTTTTGCCGGTGACTCATCTCCATGTAGAGAACCTGTTATTAGAAGACAAACACAAGTGAATTAGCACAATACACACAGATATGAATATTTAAAAGTCATATGGAATTAGGCTTTTTTTCTTTTTTACAAGATTCGAATAGCAAAAGGTAGATGCGCAGATATTACCACAAGGAAATTTGATCCAAATTGCTATAAATAAGATACGCATATAAGGTATATTATAGAATGATAGCCAAAGAAATAAAAACAAATAAAATCAAAGACTGTGAAAAGAAAGATTTTATGCTTTGGAAACCACATAGATTTCAGTAAAGCTAACTCTACTTTCTTATACATCTCAAGTCAATAGTCAGTGACTGGTAACATGTCTTGATTACACCACACTTCCCTTTCACATTAAATCTAATTTTATTTGCACCAACATAAAACGCTAAGATAAATAGTAAGAAAGCACATCCTTTCGACAATGGACGACAGAAATTCATAACGTCAACTGACTTGTCTTAAATAAGGTACCGAATTCAACCTTTACATTGTTCACATAAAGGTTCGACTGTACGTCGATAACACGACGGAAGCAACAGTGGTCAGACGACCGAAGCACGAGTAGAACCTATATTTTTGACGAGCGGACTTCACAATCGTACAGCGAGAAGACAAAGCACATTGGTGCAATACGACGTCATATCAACACCAAGTGATTCAACTAGTAGGTACCCGAATAAACGTTTCTATACTTCCGCTATTCATTCGCTATTAAGATATCAGGACAGATGTGATTGTCAATATAAATAAGGCAGTCAATCTCCTTCCGCTATATGTCTAGATTAGTCTTGAAATGATGGGTTACATTTGAGAAGTACAAAAAATATATCCAAACAATATCCTCAAAATCTCTACCAAAGTGACTGCAATTTATTAATAACTTATCCAAAAAGACTATTTCATCTGAGTACTGTTATTCAATTAAACAACATTTCAGGATTTTATAAATCCTTGTGAAAATAGATGCAACAAAAAGTCGACAGGCTCATTCAAGCATCATAGAGGAAAATGGATGAAAACAGCTACGATAGGCATATTAGGGAACACAGAGGTAGAAATTAAAATTAAAAACAGCTGTCCAGTACTCCCAGGTTTTTCAATGGTTCTCTAACCAATGTTAGCTCATGATGAAATCCTGTAACCAATAAAATTACAAACATGAAGACTGATCAAGTGAGAACTGTTGATGTCAACTAAGATAAATGAAACGGGATTTGAACCGATGACCCACTGACTGAAAGTCAGGTTCCTAAATCAATGGGATACACAGCTCTATATAGTCCCACTGATGCTTGATACTTTTTACAAGGTGATAAACTATTTGTAAAAGCACCTCCACACACTCACATTCACCGGAAAAGTGTAGTTTCACAATTTAGCATGAGAAGTTGACAGGCAGAAGGAACGTATGTATCAGTCTAAGTGTATCATACTTAATTCTTAAAACTTGATAAGAAATTTCAATAGACCAACAGAATATGACGAAAAATGAGGTATTGTAAACATTCTGTCAGACAAAAAATGAAGTTACTTGCGTGGCCCTGTACATACGACCGTACGCAATAAGGAGAAAACAATGAACTAGAAAACTCGATTACGAGAGGAAGTTAGTAGTCAGTTCCCAGATTACCTAATTAATGCCTTACTACCTGAGCTACGACAACTGACGGCTGATAACGTTCTAATCTTACTTCAATAGCTGAAGTTCGTATGCATTTACAGGGATGAATCTTCTACCAACCACCATTTATCAACATAGAGGAAAGGCAAACACGTTACAGAAAGGAAAAATGAGTAACACGAAGTTATGAGATAGTATGAAATAAAATTATGAATTCGAACAGTTAATCAACCTATCACAGTTAAGAAATATGCCGGAGGTAAGCAACAACAACAATAAAGAATCTAAATTAACGTTAATGCAGTGTAAGTTAAGAAGAAACCTTAGAGCTGAGCTTTAAGCTTGTTGGAATATTTGCAGTCTTGATTAGACCTACGTTCCAATGCGATGCACACATCTCATTCAACTATCAAATCAACGGACTTCAATCCACACTGAAGACACTTAAGTTACACTTTTCGCCCTTCTGCAATCATTACGTGTAATCCTACAACACAATAAACAATAACTCTGAATTCAAGTATAGAGTGGATGAAAACCAATAAAAATGACAAAAATAATAATAATAATAATAGTTAATGCTAATTCATAGCTTACTTTCGGGAGTGAAGAAATCTGCATTACTCACAGACCTAGCAGAATAACCAGAATACCAGGGAAGTCGAATTCCAAGTTGTGAGCTTAGCAAACTTCGACTTTCATCATGCTCTTTTAAACATACAGTCACTGAACAAAAAATAACAGTGTAAATGAAATTAATTACACAATAAACTGAAAAATAGTTATTTATATATTTTTAAACACAACGGAATGCATACAAAAGTAATTCTTTTATTTCTTTTTAGTGCATTAAGAAGCTCTACAATACAGTTGACTTTTATCATATTTCAATAACAAGAGTATACTCAAAATGGGAGATAAGATAATATATCTGACTTTGTCAGATTAACGAGGTCCAGTTGATACAAGCGTGAAATATCCAAAGAGAGCTGAATATCCCATACGCAGAAATGTAGAAATCTAGTTTACCTTTAAATGACTTTTCTAAAACAGCCATTGATGATGGCTTGTGTCACTTTGGGAGTCTTGTTTTTAACTCACTTGTTAACAAAACCTAGTGTGGTCGGTCATGGGCGGATAACTTGGCACTGACAAGAAACAGAACAAATCAGTGGCTCAGAGTTCATTGGATTGCAATGACTCGTGAAAAAAATCCACTGTAAATGATCCAGTTTGTTTGACATTTAAGCCGTTCAGTTGCCTTTTTCACCTTTACTTTGTCAGTAATTTGATTTCCATAATCCTAATGAGTGTAAATCAGATACTTATGATTTTTAACTGTGGAGAATCTTTCTTTTAAATAACCACCACTAGTTTCTCATTATCTTCTCGGCTAACGAATGCTTAAATTGTTGAAGTTTGGAAGTCTCTATCTCGATAAACTTGAACAATTGTTTTCCAGAAAGGATTAGCTACTATATATACAAATTTAACTTTAATGAAGTAGTTTTTTTTATTTTGTGTGTAACGCATCAACAAATTACATATAAGAGTTAAGTGTTTTCTAATTGCATTTTCACCTTTCTTTGGATGAATACTTTGCATCAGTAGAATGCATCGCTAACTTGCTCTCTATAGGTCAACAAATAACGATCATCCAATGAATACACCTATGAATCGCTTCCTATTTACAAACTATATTCTCACTGTGTTCTGCCACTGATTATGCGTATTATATAACGTGAATTCTTATGAAAAAAAGATTTGAATATGAGGACTGATTGATACAATTCCAGATTGCAGGAGTATATAAAAAACGGGTTATCAATGTAGAAGACATAAAATGAAGAGGAAGAGAAGTACAACGAGAATAGTTTGAACTAAGTGAGTTTTCAGTCTCAGGTTGCTAGGCTTTAGTGATAATGACAATAATGATAATAAACGGCTTTATTCCGAACATGACATTTGATACATACAGTACTGTATGTAATTTGCCTAAAAATCTAATTCACACCAGTTAATTACAATATCCTTCTTCACACAATGAATTTTCGTGTTTGTTCATACACACACACGTATTATCTTATGAGTAATTTCGTATCATGATACCCAGTGGTCTAAAACGAGTTGTGCTTGAAAGAGGGCTTGATTATACGTCTAGTGGCTGATGTGGTTCTTGCAAATAGCGTTATGTGTATTATAACTGGTCTCTCCTCTTTGGATATGATGTCAACAAAACTATCACAGAAAACCTATTAATTATTTGCATACAGTCATAACGACTTCATTGAAATGAAAAACCTTTTCGTTCCATCTAGGTGTTGCTTGTAGGACTTTTATTTCAGGATAAGTGGCTCTAAGTCTTTTTATACAAGGCTAACTAGCCTACAATATATATCCAAAATGTCTCGTAAAGCCAGTTGTTCCAAATTATTTTCATAGCAATTGCTTACTTTAAATATAACAAGATATTAGCTGTTACGTGCGTTACATACGGTGTCTGCTTAGGCGGGGTATAGTGTGAAATCTTCGGCAGATGGTAGAAGACCAGAGGAAGGATTGATGAAAGCATTAGTGGAAAAATCAACGCATTAGTAGTTAGTTATCAATTAGAAAGCATGATGATGATTTTAAAAAAAGGTTAGTGTAAGCGTGAAGTTTAGGCACTTTGGTAGGACATAATTACATATAAGTCTATTTTATATTATGTAACACGCAGTGATATAATATTGATAACTGGATGACGTTTCAAGCTCAATTGATTGCTTAGCATCATATCAATGTATTCACACGGCTTCATAATGTTGCTTTATGTATATTTTCTCTCCCCCTTGTTGTTTATTGCAGTTTTCCATACGTCCAGTATAGGTGTTGAGTTGCTTAGTTTGCAAGTGTTTGGTGTTGATAACAATAAATAACAAGAGGAAGAGAAAAAAATATGAATCACGCAAATTACGAAACCATGTGAATACATTGATACAATTATGAGCAATCAATTGTGCTTGAAACATCATCCCAGTTATTAATACTGTATCACGTGTTATACAAAAATAAAGTTATCTAATACAGTGGAATAAGGTTGGACTATTATATTAGCAATGGGTGTTATTAGCTTGATAAATGGTCCTCCAACTGTTTCCATACTCACCAGTTAAAACTCTACACGTTCGGATAATTCGAATTGGTTACACTTTCATTCACCTTGCTAGTTTTAGTATACTGTCACTATTTTTTTAAACTCTTATGCATGAGATAGATATTATAGACTTCTCTTTATTTACACCATGATGCAAGCGATCATATACCCTAAATCTTGTACATGGTTACCATCGGTATTTACAACTTACTACATAAGGGATATTTTATACTTATTCCATAAAAGCAATACTTAGTATGAAAAGTTATGAAACTAAATGTTTGCCTGAATTGAAGATAGGGTGGGATGGTGACTTGAAACTGAATGATTACTAGAAAATATTCACAAAGAGGATTTAACACAATATTTACAATTATTCTCAGTAGAAGTACTTTACCTCGATCAGCAGCTTTTTCCTGTGGAATAACACGATACACTAGAAAGCCAGTTTCGAGCCATGAAATAATGAAAGGGGATATTAGAACAGTATACGCTAGACCTTGATTGCTGGCATTTTGATGGAACTACAGTTTAAAAGAAAATCAATTGAATAAAAAGTAGTTAGAAGGCGTTAAAATATGAAACCTTAAAACTTTTCATATTGCGTTAATAGTTCAGTGGTAGAATTCTCACTAACCACTAAGCACTTGGTCCCGGTTCGACTCCCGACCAACGCGTGCTCCTACACGTAGATTACCAGATAGTAATATCAGGTAAACAGGTAAGGCTGGGTATGAGGTTGGAAATGCTATACTACAAAAAATACACTATCGCTACTGAGAATTCAAAGGTCAAACTTGAAACCTCTACGAAATAAACAACAAAAAACTTTTCATACTTGTCTTCAAGTATAAAGTTAAATAAACGTTATGAAGAATTGATACTGGATCGTATAGGAAATAATACTTACAAAACAATAAATACCATACATAAGATTACTACAAGAGTAGGTCAATCACGATTATCTCGGAATAGGAGGGATTTTTGGATCCCAAGACAAGAGATTGCTAGTGATGATATTGGTTGCTCGTAAACTGCTAATTGTACAAGAAATGTTGTTAAACCTATCAAATAAAAGGCACACTTATTCTAATATATTCAAATAGCCAACTAACATGCTTTATGGCATCAGCCGACAAAAATCAATTGCCTAAATGATGCATAACCTAATAGAGACGTGAATGTGATATTAATCCTGTCGATATGACAATGACTACCTGTGTATTTAAGTTGAAGTAAGAGATAAATAGGATAGTATATGAAATAGAAATGGGAAATATGTATTTTAGCTTCACTGAATGATCTAGAAACATGCCTTATACCATGAGAGCCACACTGGTTTTGAGTGCAGATTTTAGTCAATACGAACTGTGTTAATTACTTCTTAATTCGATTTGAAAATAGCACACATTCCCCATTTAACCAACAACAATTACCAAAAATAGAAAAGCTACTTCTCCAGAAAGGACTGAACTACAATTCAATGATGCAAATTTTTTTGTTTCCCTGGAACCATCACTTAAATCATCAAAATAAAATGAAGAGATGCGACAAGAAATATGTCAATCTATCATACTCATAGACCAAGCAGGAAAGCCACAATACTCAATTTAACCCTCGTGAGAAAAATACATAAAAAAAACTGAAAAACATTAAGAGCACAGTTATGCTGTGGTGAGAGCTGCCTGCAAGCCAAAATTGTAGACAACAATTTACGTCCCGAATCGGGGTCATGAGAAAAAAACAACAACAAAGCTTAACCTTGAGGAACTCGCCAACCAATCACAGCAGACTTAACGTGTGCAAATACGATTCTCAGATATATGGCCTGACTTTCTAAGAAACGGCCACAAAGAGATGACAGAATATCCTTCGACAAGAAAACAACCAATCAGAAGAAGTTGTATCTCTGCTAACAATAACGCTAATAATAATGTACATAAAAATTTATAAATATCTGTTGATTTTCTCAATAAACTATCTGGTGCCTGGTCCTTGTCTTCTGTCGTTACAATACTACCAGCTGATAAAGGGACAACAACGGTGATTATGGTGAGAGAAGAGAGCAAATGATTTACTTGAAGATAATAATGCATATGGACAACTAACCAAAATCTCACAAAATCGGAACGAATTTAAATAAACTCATAAAATAGGGGTAAATTACATAAAACAAGATCAATGGAGAGTGAAATCTAACCAACCCATACTACTAGCTCAACTTTAAGGTAGGTCGAAATTACACAAGCTAGACATTCCCCTACGAACAATCGTTTTGCAATCAGGAAAATCCGAAGAACTCTTTAAAAAACTGAAATATATAATCTTGGAACAATTCTATCAAATCGCCAATCCAATTTCTAGAAAAAAATATGAACATTCAACTAGATGATAGTGAAATCTTGGTGTCCTTTGACATCACAGCATTTCAGACTTCAATTGGACATGAACTAGCAATCCATGATGATGAAAATACACAAATAGTGTTCAATTTGAGTGGAGCTAACAGATTCATGTTTTATAACATAGACTGAAATCAGTAGTCAAATATACGGACAGATAAAGGGAACACTAATGGGGTCATCGATATCAGGATGTTATGCAAAAACTGGAAACGATAGCTCTACAAATAATCAAACCGAGAATCTGGACACATTACGTGGATGACACATTTGTCATAATGAGAAGAATTGATTTAGAAAGCACGCAAAAGTAATCAACAACATGTTTGAAGACACTAAATTCATGACAGAAGAAGGATCAGACAAGAAAGTTCTTTTCTCATCAGTCTTAATCAAGATGGTAAACACAGGAAATCTAGAAACACAGGTACGCTGGAAGTCAACACACAGACCAAATATTCAACTGCAACAATAAAAATCCACCAACACAAAAGAAACTGTGTACAAACGAGCCAAAACAGACTGTAGCACCCCAGGCTTGAATAGAAGAGAAAAGAAACATCCATCTATCCAAGATAGAAGAATACCCTCACAATTTCATCAAAAAAGTCTAAACTCGCCTCGAATTACCAGCAAGAAAATTCATCCTACCATTTATGAAGAGTATTGCTGAAATAACAGCTAGAATACTAAAAGGATTTGGAATAGATATCGTTAACAAACCAACCGCAAAATTAGACAAGATCAACACCAACTATAAAATAAAATGCATCAATTTCGAAAAACCATACATGGGTTAAAGTGGTATTCGAATTCAAGAACTAAACTAGTCGTCGAAAGACATGACATGCATTCTTCCATGTCAAGTTTGCACACAGGAGAAACACCGAAGATTTCAAGGTATTCGTAAAAAACTTGATACTCTGACGAATAATATGAAGAAAAAAATAGAATTCCAATTCAATAAGACGATCGATACTGGCGCAAAATAACAACCAATCGCAACGAACATCGTCAAAAGAGACAATTATATCATTCATGGGGAATTCTAATAATTTTAATTCATATTAAAGTTTATGCTGAGGATTTTGTTTAGAAATACAATGAAAGCTTCGCAATTACACTGCTCAACTTAGAAAACACAACTGCATCACAAAAATATACACCTGAGCTACAAATCTTCTTCATTATAAAAAAAGTTTTTTGTGGACTAAATCCACTGCATTTAAAAAAAAGCTTGTTTAAGGAGTACATAAGTTATCAGTAATAACACAGCAAAATAAATGAAGTCATAATCTGGAACGTAGGCGTATTTGTATTGGGTGACATGAAAAGAACAAATGAATCATTGACCAACTGATTAAATTCTTGTGTATCTACCAATTTAACTGCTCCTGTGGAATGAACCAGTTACATAGGTCGTACAATTAGGCGTATTTCTCGTCGGATTTTCAAACATTACCCTGCTTGGTTAAGTAAACGACAAACAAAATCCATTCGTAGCGGTATTCTATCTCATCTTGAGGACACAGAACAAAAGATTGATGTCAACGAGGCGGCTTTCAAAGTCAACATATCTTAACTTCGCTTTAAGAGTTCGTCTACTACATACTGCCTAGGCCGTTGGGATCCACATTAAGAAGCCTAAATTATGTACCCAAAAGAAGCTGGTTCAGATACTGTCTTTACTTCGGCCATCTAGGTTCTAATGATCCTCAATTTTTTGTAGAAATTTCCTCCATTTTATTTGATATTACATTTTTATTATTATTATTTACGCATCTTTAATGAACTGTAATTCCATTGATCTTACTTAACCAATCGATATTATTTAAAAAACATCCATATTGTTATTGACTACTATTCTAGAATATTCTATATATATATGCAGAGCCAGACGAAGAAAGTATCAAAAAGGATATTCTTTGCTCAGTTATTTTGCTTTTTCATAAATTCTTGTTTTTAAATTCATAATAACTTCTAATTATTCATAACATGCATATTAAAATTCAGTGCTGCAGCACATTATTATTATTGTCTCCTTTAGTTCCTAAAGGAACAGGGCTTCAGCCTCACGTCTCCACTGCGTTCGGTTCTCAGCCAGCGTTTTTACCTGGCTCCACTTCTGCCCACATGCTTTCATCTCCTCTTCGCATAACCTCCTCCATGTCACCCTCGCACTGACAACCAACTCGCCGTTTCCCGTTCGGGTTCCACTCGAGAGCCTGGCGTGTGATGTCACTTGATGGTTTTCTCAGAGTATGACCAATCCACTTCCAGCAGCACATACGGAATGTTAATTTTCAAATGTGTTTATTTAACGTACGTATGGTGCCCATCAATAACTGACTATCTATGTTTCACTAGATGTGATACTCTGGATGTCAGAGACACGATTATACTTTTTTCAATAGATTTTTGAAAACTTGATCAATCAATATATCAGGTCATAATTTTGCCTCCAAAGAGTTTGGTGCAGTTACAACAGACTTACTAGTACTTTGATTTTCACTGGCTAAATTGCTTGCATTAAACTGACTCTACGAATTCAGTGACGGTGTGAGTACTAGCCAAACTTTGGCTATGGTATTTCACAAAACGATTACATGACCTTAGGTATACACAGAGGTGGACAGGATTTTTATTTATCATTAAGTCATAAAAAGAAGACGTAGTCATTGATTACTTAAGCTTGTTATACGTCTTGAACGGAGGACAATTTTTTTGGCCCTATGGGTGTAGAAGTTGTATGACAGTCATTTTCACTAGTGGTTACATCAAAAATTAGGCAAGATTCATTTTTTCTGATTTTTTTTACCTTCACGTTCCCCAGTGGAACATAGGGCTTCAGGCTAGAGGCTTGAAGTTTCTGTAGCAGTGTTTATTTTACAGGATGGGGTTGCTGGCCTCATGCCTAACCTTTCCTCTTCACCAGCATTATTTCTGGCTTAGCGAGGTAAAGGAGTGCGTCGACCGGGGATCGAACCCCGGACCATGTGCATGGTCGGCGAGTGTCCTAACCGCTATGCCACCAACGCACCATTTTTTCTGATAGCCCCATAAATTAATGTTCTGATTTAGTCTTTGTTTAAGATTTTAGAATTGCGGAAATTTTCACCACGAACCAATATCAGCTGAGGGACCAATGAAAATTAAGAAGAATCATACAGTTGTTTCGAAATGAAGCCTTTTCTGACTATTGGATGTATTTATTGAAAACGTATGCATTTAAAGGCATTGAATGAAGGTCAACAAATATATATATATATATTATATAATATATATATATATCATAAAAAAACACGATAGACGGAAAAATATTCCAATATCCCTAATAACATGGTTGCATCCTAGATACATAAGACTAATACCATAGTAATTAGGGCGTTTTGAACCTGTACTCTTTCAAAACAAAGCAGTCAAGTGTTTAAAAAAGTCAACAATCAATACTGTACTGTTTCCTCAACTTTCTTATCAGTCTAGACTGTAGAAAATCTTCATAATTATTTAGAGACCAGTTACCTTAAGTATACCAAACCTGAAAGAAGTATTTAACCGAATTTGTCTAGATTCATGCACTAATAGGTGGAGTTGTGACTCACTTGTTTAGATATTTCATTTTCATTCACTAAGACACACGGGATCTAAGCCAGCTTCACCTACTGAGGTTTTACCGCCCAAGCAGTAACATCACTAACCTTCACACCAGTGGTGTGATGTAAGAGTAGGATTTAGGTACTGTGAGAGAACATAATTCTATATTACATAAGTTTATTTAATAATGTTACGGGCACAATGTATTGCTTATATTCATATCATCGTATTTACACAACTTGATAACTAGCTTTATATGGCTTTTCTCCCTCTTGATTTTCTTTTATTGCAATTTTCTATAATTCCGAGATAGCTGTTGCGTCGCTTAGACTGCATGTGTGTTTGGTGTTGATACAATAACCATTACATAGGACGAACTAGGAGATCCAAGCCAGTTAGGCTATCGGAACATTAGAATTCAGCTAGATACAATACAGAAAGATTGATCCAGTTAAGGTAAGTAGTCTAGAAAAAAACTTGGCAGTTGATAAAGCATTCACTTGCATGTAATCCTACAATAGGGTGAAACAGAATAAAACGACTAAGCAGTAATATAATTAAATGGGGAGAGAGGTTAATCACCAATTCCTTTTACATCCAGTCAACACTAAACATGTACAATCGATATACGGAAAATTGCAATATAAAACGAGAGGGGTACTGAAGTCATTTCAAGTAAGTTATCAAGTTATGTGTGTGATCACACTGATATGAATATGAGCAATAAATTGTGCTCGAAACATCATCCAATTAGTAACCCTATATCATTGCACTATATCACATAAACTTATCCACTGTGTTGCATCTCATTGCAAATTGCATAATATGCGTATGGTTGTTGAGTAACACTTAATTTTTCATTTTTTGCATTAGCATAAAATGCTACAAAATTTTTATACTGCTAACATCAATCTGAAATGGAAATGATCAATGATTAGTTTTATCAAATTCGGTTTGACCTACAATAAAGACATTTACAAATTAGAAATAAAAGTTCTGAGTGACTACAAACAAGACTAAAATTCTTTATTTATTTCAAATAAAGAAAAGACAAGATTGCGCAGTTGAAAATTTCAAAAAAATAAAGAACAAAGATAAACTTACATTGAAAATGAAGCATTTAATAACTAAAACCAGACTTGTTAGACCAGTTGAGCCCTTAAATGAGAAAAAGAAAGTTTGTAATGAAATTAGTTTGTGCACCATACGGAATTTTCAACAATTAGAGGTGTGTGTGCATATGTTCAATCTGAACACTACTCAGTATAAAGGGTAAACATTTCAGGATTTCATCATGAACTGACATAGGTTAGGGGACCATTGGAAAACCTGGGAGTACTGGACAGCTGTTTCGTCAGCCTAGTTTGGGACTCCTCATCAGTACGCATCCACCACCAGGGTTCGAACCCAGGACCTTCTGGTTACAAGGCGAGCTCGTAGACCATTAAGTCACTGGGACCCGATCCAATGGTCCATGAATTCCAATTTCTGTCAATTTGTGATATCGCGCGACCACTAGCGAGTATTTGTCCTCACACCGAACCTGCTGTACCCTACTGATCACAGATTCCCACTAGAACCCACTAGGGCACACATTCCCTTGAAGAAGAAAAACAGAAGAACAAAGAATTGTCTCTAGCCAAGTTTTCTAACGAAATACATAAAATAATTTCATTATTCGGCCATATGATCTCATTCTAGTTAACAAATGATGTTCAAATACAAAAATTGATAATCGAAGGTGAACATAAAATTTAAATTGTAGCAAGCCATCCATCAAGAACGAAGTAGATTGTCTAATGAAACGAATCACTTAAGATAATAATTCAGATGTAGGGTTTGTCATAAGAATCTGACTGATCTTTACCAAGGAATGCGTCACGAATAGAAATCAGTCCGAGAATTACTGAAACCACTGGACAGATGCTTTATAATATTTTTTAACTCTTCATTATCATACATCTATAGTCCTATCATCAATCAAAAGCAAGACCTTAAAGTTATGATGTGAGCAGGTATGTGATTGCCAAGCTACTATGAACGAATACTGTAGTCTAAGTCCTGCCATTCAGTGCTATCTGTGACATGCTTTTCAAAGCGTGGTAACTTCGAATGAGGCACCACTGAGAATTTTTACGTTATTTCAGTCAGTACTTCAATCACGTGACTTGACTACGATTAAACTGGAAAGGTCTAACCAGTAAAGATTTTTTATAAGGACTCAAGGAAGTCCATGTTACATTATTTATCTAAGAGCATGAAATTAATATTCAGGAATTAGATTGGGAGGACACACACTGCTTTCAGTATACATTTTTTCACTAAATCTCTAATGGGCACTGACCACAGTTATAATTGATGGAGCTACAGATTTCAATTGGGTAGTCCGTATGTTATTGCACAGTAAGAGGTCATCGTCTGCATTCTAACGGTTGTAAAGTCTTTCTACAAATAACAGACCAACTCCACCGTCACACATACCCTTCAGAACTATCTTCCGAATGTCATCAATGGAAAAGTTGGAGGGAAACGAAATGGTCGGACAACTTTATCCAACCCCACTGTTGCTTGGATACACTGGTAACAGGAGGTTATATACGCTCATTTTACATGAGATGCTTTGCATAGTTTTTATCAAATGCTGACAAACGTTTGTGGGGAATTTCACTTACAAAGAAGCCCTAATAACCATCCTGTACAATGAATTGAAATTATACCATCAAGTCAAGAAATATGATTGTTGGGATACTGTCACTTTTATTGTACGTCAACAATCACGACGGCTGAACACATGTTACACAGTGCCTGTGGGGCACGACCGCAATTAGTATTTCAGATACAACTGGTAACAAACTAACACCCCGATCATTGTTACATGGGTTACTTCGACTTTTTAAAGATAGGCCCAGTGACTGCTTCATTCATATTGGTGAGATACTCTCAGTCAGTCACACCACTTCAAACAATGTAGTTGGATCCCTGATTACAGATACATCATAAATCTTTATAATGACCTCCATTTCCTTAAATGGATCGGTGCTAACCAACCATGGAGCACTGGGACTAATAATATTGGACAATATTTTCTAACTAGCATCAACTTCCAGCACAGCAATCGCAGGGGTACTCCTTCTACACTCCTTTTCGTATTTGAAAGTGACCTGTATTCTTTTCACCTCCATGTTAATGCAGACAATTCACTGTCATTTGATAGGCATGTATCTTCATATATATTTCATGTGGTAGTATATTCATGTAGTATATTCAACTAACGAATTTTATCTAATGAATTCATTAAATCCTACTTTATTAACAAGTACTACATAGTAGTTGTGCAGTTTCTTAGTATGATACAAGTTACTTACAGCTGACCACCATGGTGCACGACTTAGAAATACACCGTAAGTAATTCCCAAAACCAAAAATCGAAGAAATGCCGAGACCTGATACAAAAGAAATAAAAAGCAGATATATACGCATGTGTAATTAACAGTGGAACAGCAAAAGAACCCCAAAGAAAAAAATTTTCGAACATAAAACTTTATAAATTTTAGACTGCATTAAATGTTAATAATAATAATAGCTTTATTCCAAACGGTCCTTTTGGTACAAATATGGAATTCTCATTCAGCATGTAGTACAGTATTGCATTGATAATACTGTTCAGTATGAAAATGAATATTAAATTAAGTGAAAATATCAACAACAATGTAACAATGAAAAAAATGAGGCCGTTTACTCAGAGTTCCACAGTAAGTTAGTAATTTCTCGCCTAACACTTTTCTCATCGTATAAAATGTGTGCTAAATAAGGTATCGTAGAGTTGTTGTACTTAGTCGTTCAAACATACAGTCTTCTATAGTTGCTTCTAGTTCTATCAGATGAGATGCAGGAAGGAGAGAGTTGTGTATGGAAAGGATGTTCAATGTCCGACAGGATAATATTTGCTAATTGCTTGCATGAGTTCATGCGTCTATCGACAATGGTACTAAAGAGTTGGTTTAGCAACACCCGACTCGCCTTACTGACGGCGTTTTGTGCTCTTCACAGTGTAAAAAAGTCTTTCTTAAGTAACCTGGGAAAGATTAAGGGGAAGCAGTAAAGAAGGATAGGCAGAATACAAGAATTAACAAACGGTAACAGTAGAGACGGAATAATACCAAACCGTCTTAATTTCCTTACGTAGAACGTCAAAAGAAATATCTTTTTGGAAACTAACATGTGTGAAAGACCAAAAAAAGACCAGAGGAAATACACAGTTCAAGGTATTTAATATTCAAATTGGTTTCAACTTCTGTGGCATCTATAATAGTGGAACCGTGAGAACTAACCAGTTCGTGTAAGTCACATTTGCGTCTGAAAGTAAAATTAACCACCTGATATTTGGAGGGACCATTTGACGAGGACCACTGACTAATTTCTGATAAGAAGTTATTCATTTAGCAACAGTTGGACTGAGAAGTAAGCGGCATAGACAATCAGATCATCAGCATACTTAACAAAATTGGCTTCGTCAGAATGCGGCAAGTCATGTAAGAAGAAGGAAAACAGAAAAGGAGAGGAACACCAGCTAGAGTAACTGAAGCAGTGGAGGACTTCCCATTGTAAATAGTGTACTGCTTCCTATCAGAAAAATAGGAATGCAATCACTTATTAATCCAGCACTGTGCTTGTGTCGCAGTAAGCTTGTTTAACAAAAGAGGCCTAGGTACAGAGTCAAAGGCAGATGTACAATCTAGGAAGGTACCCCGACCGAAAGCTGCTACCTTGACGTAGTGGTCGGGCTTGAACACCGCCATGACCCAACAAGCTTTACTGGCTGGAACTTATGTTCCTGTAGGTCCTACCATGCCAGAAAGGTTGTTTGGATAGCTGTTAGACAAAAAGCAGCTACCCAATCCAATACTATGATTCAAACAAATTCACAAAATATCATGCCGAATCGGTCGGGGCCCGGATTAACAACGACTGCACTTCCTGCTGCCATGTCACAGGGCAGAAGTGATAAGTGTGCTACTGAGACACACCAAATAAAAAAGAACAAACAAAAACAGGCCGAGTGTGACCGGCCTCAAGCAGTTATCCCCTGGGCTCTGCGGTTACGCAACCAACTTCCACGGTGTGGGTAGCCGGGAAGTAACAATCGCCCTCACAATCCGAAGTGCAAACGAAACCTCTCTAATCCTCATTCACCTTTGTCTTCATCTTCATCTCTATTATCTTGCCTTCCTTCTACTAATGCAACTCCTCTACTTGATGGCTCTTCACTTCCTCTTCACTCTGTGTGCACTGATAACGATGGAAGCCAAAAAGCCACCATCGATAGTCTCCTAAAGCCACGCCACCAATTTCATATAGGAGCATTTAATGTTAGGACACTTTGCCAAATAGGACAACAAGCATCACTAGCCAAGACTCTGGCATCCCGAGCCATTGATATATGTTGTGTTTCAGAAACACGCATACAAGACCCAAGTGTGGTTATTCACCTAACCCCACCTGGCCAACAGGATGAATCTGCGAAATTCACCTTGAGGGTGTCAGGAGATGCGACGGCTAGCTCACGAGGATTAGCTGGTGTTGGGATAGCTTTGAGTACCAGGGCAGAAAAGACGTTACTTGACTGGATCCCGGTAGATAGCCGAATGTGTGCTGTCGGTCTGAACGGATCAGTAAAAAGGAGAAAGGACTGCACTACTCACCGATGCCTTTTCGTAATCTCCGCCTACGCCCCCACTGACTGCAGTTCGGATGAAACGAAGGATGAGTTCTACCAAAAGCTGTCTAGTTTGCTGCGAAAGGCTAAACGCTCAGATATAGTCGTTTTAGCTGGTGACTTTAATGCTCAAGTAGGGAAATTGTGTCAATCTGAGAAGAATGTCGGTGGCACACACGGAATTCCGTGCCAGCGAACCGACAACGATGACCGTCTCCTACAGTTCTGTTCAGATAATCATTTGTTTCTTGTAAGCACTGACTTCAAACACAAGGAGAGACACTGTTTGACCTGGCGACTCCCATCATCAAACCAACGCTGGACACAAATAGACCACATAGCAATAGACTATCGTTGGCGTGGGTCAGTAGGAGATTGTCACTACTTCTGGAACACGTGTGTAGATACCGATCACGCACTGGTGCGCGCTCGTGTGTGCTTACGACTGAACGGACGTAGGGAACAGCTAGCGGTAAAACCATCACGTCTCCAGCTCAATCAGGAAACTAGGTCCCTATTTGAGGAAGAACTAGCTAAACACATATCTGAGTTCGACAGCTCCGGTCACCCTGAAGAGGTCTGGAAGAATATTCAGTCAGCCATAGATACAACTATAAAAGCTGTGAATAAGGTAAATCCAAAGGTGAGCCAAAACCACTGGGTTTCGATTGCCTCCTCCGCACTGATGGATGCTAGAAGACTTATTCCAGCGAGCTCCAAATTCAATGAGGAGCGAAAGCTGCACAAAAGGAAACTTACGAAAAGTCTCCGCAAGGACCGTGAACAGTGGTGGTTGACAAAGGCGAAAGAGATGGAAAAAGCATCGGTGATAGGCAACACTAGGCAACTCTTTAGACTCATCAGGGAAACGGGTGGGAGAAGGCAAATCATAAGTGAGACTATTTGTGAGAAAAATGGCTCCTTAATTAGCTCTCAGGATAGACGTCTTGAACGCTGGAAAGAACACTTTGAGGATCGTTACCTACTTGCTAAGCCCCAGTGATTTCCTTAAACAGCTTCTACATATTTGGTGAGGTTTTGCATGATAAGAACTTTTGGTCATGGATCATATTTAATCTCTGTATTTCTGATTTAATTAAAATATTCAGTCTCTTAACATCAGGATTGTCTTCCATTTTGTATAACCTTTCTTTTTCTCGGCGAAGCTTCATACGCTGAGAAGAGTAGAAGCAGTCATATTTTAAGAAGAGTGTCTCTTGGGCAACAAATATCAAGACAGAATTTGAGATGACATGTTGCGTTTGTGTCATCCAGAACTTGTTTAGTAGATAAGTCCCAGTTTGTATTTCTTAACTGTCATGGGAGTAATAGCTATGCTGTTCTCTTGCCAAGGTGCAAGAAGACCCTTTTGTGCAGCTTTCCATATATTTTGGACAATGTACGTATGATGCCATGGTGAGAATTAAGTAGTGCATAGTGTTATTTAACAAAAGGGGGCAATTGAATAAAGAAATACAAAGTACAAATAATAGAATAATTATAAGTATTACAACGCATTCGTGCGTCGGTGGCATAGCGGTTAGGACGCTCGCCGACCATGAACATGGTCCGGAGTTCGATCACCGGCCGACGCACTCCTTTACCTCGCTAAGCCAGAAATAATGCTGGTGAAGAGGAAAGGTTGGGCATGAGGCCAGCAACCCCATCCTGTAAAAATAAACACTGCTACAGAAACTTCAAGCCTCTAGCCTGAAGCCCTATATTCCACTGGGAACATGAAGGAATAAAAGAAAATTACAACGCATTCAGATAATGAGGGCCTGCCTAATAGCCAAACAGTTAGTAGGATTTAGAAGATTCATTTCAATTTAATTTGAAAAACCAAATAAATATTCATTATGAATAGGTATCACTTCTCATGTTTACCAAAAATATAGGGAAAGAATTGGTAGGTTCATATGCAAATTCGAAATTGTGAACAACCCAACTGTCTTACAAACACACGCAAATAAAAGCAATGATAAAAGTTACCACAGTTCTTAGAATTACAGAACATATAAACAAAAATAGAACGATATTACGACGAACAAGGATTTAAATCATATCACATGCATACTGTTATCTGCTAGACATAATTCACAGACAACCCAAGACAACGAAGGTGATAAAAATATTGCAAGACAGTCAAGACATGAGTTTATTCTTGATTGATTCACTTCTGTAACTGAATTTCGCACTTTACTTGATTATTAATGCTTTTCTATTTGTGAAGTTGATTTATAAACTAGTTTAAGATGCCCTTATCAGTTGCATTTCAACATTCGAGATGTCTAAACGCATGGACTTTTGTTGCTCAGTTTCAATCCAAATCATTTTGCTATGAGTTTTGGTTTAACTGAATTTTGAAGTTTTGACTAAAATTCATTTTATGCAATGTTGTAGTTCAAACATTCTTAGGTTTGAGCAAGTTAAAAATTCCTATTGAGTCACATAAAAGAAAAGGAGTTCAACAAAGAGGTATCATTTTCAAGCTGTACACTCGCATATATATGGTATATTTTCTGAGCAACAAAATATTTCCAAAGATGTGTCATTAGAATTGTAAATTCTAGATGACAGATTACATAATGTAGAAAACGTTGGTTGACAACTTTGGGTTTTACAAGAGATACGTGGACGACACTTTCATTATCTCTAACAATGAGGAGAATTTGGAGAACATCATGGACTTCTTCAACAGCTGCTATCCAGAGCAATTCAGTTCAC